TAAAGTTAGTTTAATCATGAAGCAATGAAACAATTTTGAAGATAATAGGGACATTTGAGGGAAATAAGTAAAGGAATTTTGAGATCACTTCAAGCCCAAATTATGTGAAATTGGGGTAGATAGAACATAAAGAAACCTTATTGAAATGCATCATGCCGCATCGAGTTGAAGCTAAAGGCAAGTTTGCCCCAAATTGGCAGGGGTCGTTCATGGTAACGCGAGTGTTGTCCAATGGTGCGTTGTATTTAACAAATGTAGAAGGCAAATGTGTGGATATGGCTATCGATTCTGATGCAGTCAAAATATATTATGTATGATTTCTTTGGTTTGTTTAATTGTGTTGTTTGTGTTTGGCATGCTTCGAAGATTGAAATGACGAAGGAATTTTATTCTGCTATCTAAACACTTTATCCTTTGTCACCCCTTTGAGCCTTATTTATTTTCTTTCATATCCCTCTTTTGGAATCAGAAGTAAAGTTTAGAAATATGATACAGAAAAAAAGGAGAAAAGAGAAAAAAAAGAAAGAAAAAAAATGGAAAAAGAGTAAAGAAAAGAAAGAGAAAGGGAGAAAAGAAAAAAGAGAGAGAGAAAAGTACAAAAACGAAGCAATTCCTATGTCATGAACTACGTTCGACCTAATTCCTTTTAAGGATACGTAGGCAGCCTCACGATTTGGTCCCATCAATATAAAAATTCAAAAGTCCCCAAGCAAAGAAACTGGGGCAGAAAGTTGTGATTGTTGTAAGAAATCTGATTCCAAGAGTTGTAATTTTGAACCCATTCAAGTTGTTTTGAGCCTTTTGATATCCTTTCTTTCTAACCCTATCTAAAAGCCTACATTATGATCTAAAGAAAGACCTTCTGACTAATACTTGAGAATGCCAAGTCAAGCGAGACAGAGGTATAATTCGCACCAGGGGAAGCACTCCGTGCTATACAAGGAAAACGAAAATGAGAGAGTCTTATCGGTGAAAACCGTCACAGGCACCATAAGGCGACGATAAGTTGAGAGAAAGAACAAAATGAGAGAGGCTTGATGGTGAAAACCCTTCGGGCACTACAAGTCGAGTAAGGATCGTGGATCAGATTGGAAAATCGGAGCATTGAAGCCCAGTTTCACGGCGAAGAGGTACAATAAGAGTTGAACATCGGACTTGCTTGGCAGATTAGGCCATTTAATCCAAAGGTGCATGTCACGGTCATTAGAGTTGGTATCCACATCTGATAAGTGTTTAGTTTTCTTGTTAGGAATCATCTCTTTCCATTGTCCTTACCCTGTTTTGTTTGTTTTGTTTACTTCCCCTTCTTGAGTCTATTTGGTTAGAACAAGTGAGAAATGACTTCAAAATTTGCTACCAACTTTCCAATTGTGCAAAACGGAATTTGGCTAACACATCAAAGTGGCATAAGCCAGGAAAGAACAACGTGCACACTGAGTTGTTAACAATCTACATGCTTTAGGATTCATGTGAAATACAAAGTTTTGGTATATATCAATTCATGAACAATGCAACAGATAGAGGATGTTGGGTGAACGGATCAAAGGTATTTCTGTGATAAGGGTGACAGAGAAATTGGTTAGTCAATAAGCATGCAATGTCTTTCAAGGTGAAGTCAAAGTTATCATGGAAAGTGAAGGAGCAATTGCTGCAAAGTCAAGGCCACAAACCAACCACCATGTTTAAACTCATAAGTTTTCTTTGTCTGAAACAGGGACGGAAGCTATGTTCATATCAAACTTGGAAGGTTGAAATTTTCAGGTGTAATGCCCCAATTCTGCTTATGCAATGGCTATTGAGAAGATCACACATCACCACTAGGAAAAGCATTTCTTAGTCTGGGTTTTCAAGTTATATTTCGTTGTAGGAGATGCACTTCCTAAATTGAGATTTTACCCTTAGGAGACACACTTCCTAGTTTGGATCATGTGAGTTTTAGTCACTGAAGTTTTCACCCCTAGGAGACACACTTACTAGTCTTGGGCATTTAATTTCACCCCTAGGAGACGCACGTCCTAGTTGGAGTCATTGAAATTTTACCCGTCAGGAGACGCACTTCCTAGTAGGGATCTTTCAAATTATACTTGTTAGGAGACACACTTTCTAGCTTTGGTCATTTAAATTCATTCATAGGAGACGCACTTCCTAAATTGAGAGTTCATTCATAGGAGACGCACTTCCTAGTTTGAGCCATTGAAGTTTCACCCCTTGGAGACGCACTTCCTAGTTTGGGTTTTTCAGGTTATATTGTTGTTTTAGGAGACGCACTTCCTACATTGAGATTTCCCTTAGGAGACGCAATTCCTGGTTCTAAGCATTAATGTTATACCCTTAGGAGACGCACTTCCTAGTCTGAGTTTTTCAGGATATACTTTCAGGAGACGCACTTCCTAAGTTGATATTCTTACCCTAGGAGACACACTTCCTAGTTTAGTTCATTTAAGTTCATTCATAGGAGACACACTTCCTAGTTTGAGTCATTGATGTTTCACCCCTAGGAGACACACTTCCTAGTTTAGTTCATTTAAGTTCATTCATAGGAGACACACTTCCTAGTTTGAGTCATTGATGTTTCACCCCTAGGAGACACACTCCCTATCTGGTTCTGTCAAGTTATATTTTGTTTTAGGAGACGTACTTCCTAAATTGAGATTTCACCCCGAAGAGACGCACTTCTTAGTCTGGGTCTTTCAAGTTATATTTTGTTTTAGGAGACACACTTCCTAAATTGAGAGTTCATTAATAGGAGACACACTTCCTAGTTTGAGTCATTGAAGTTTCACCCATAGGAGATGCACTTCCTAAAGTGAGAGTTCATTCATAGGAGACACACTTCCTAGTTTGAGTCATTGAAGCTACACCTTTAGGAGACACACTTCATAAATTGAGAGTTCATTCATAGGAGACGCACTTCCTAGTTTGAATCACTGAAATTTCACCCCTAGGAGACACACTTCTTAGTCTGGGTCTTTCAGAATACACCTGTAAGAGACGCACTTCCTAGTCTGGTTTATTGAAGTTTTACCTGTTGGAGACGCACTTCCTAATCAAGGTCTTTCAAGTTATTCTTTTAGGAGACGCGCTTCCTAAATTGAGAGTTCATTCGTAGGAGACGCACTTCCTAGTTTGAGTCAGTTAAGTTCTACCCGTTGGGAGACGCACTTCCTAGTCAGGGCCTTTTGAGTTATATTTTGTTTTAGGAGACGCACTTCCTAAATTGAGATTTCACCCCTAGGAGACACACTTCTTGGTTTTGGCTCATACAAGGTTTACTAATAGGAGACGCACTTCCTAGTTTGGTTCATTCAGGTTTTAATTTTTAGCAGACGTATTTGCTAGTCAAAGTTTTTGGTTTTACTCATAGGAGACGCACATCCTGGTCTAGTCATTAGTTTACTCTCATCATTGCATCAATAATATAAGTGGTTTACAATATTTCTAATAACTCACAAATCTTCCTAGTGCAAACTGGGGCAAAAACTTTCGTTTGTTTTTTTTGTTTTGATGAAATCAGGCACCCACATGGAGAACAAAGGGAGGACGACACAAGTTCAAAGGAAAGTGGATCAAGTTCGGCAATCAGGCACCCCCCGAAGAGCAAGGGAAGGCAGTTCAAAGGAAAAGTAGTCTCAAGAGGAAGTAGTTCAAGTTCAGCAATCAGGAGCCCACCCGGAGAACAAAGGGAAAACCGTTCAAGTTTCAAGGACAAGTAGTGAAATTGTTAGAAATCAGGCGCCCACCTGGAGAAACAAAGGGAAAACAACAACATTCAAAGGAGTTCAGCAATTAGGAGCCCACCTGGAGAACAAAGGGAAGCAGTTCAAGTTTCAAAGAAAAGCAGTGCAAGTGTTCAGCAATCAGGAGCCTACCTGGAGAATAAGAGAATTCACTTCAGAATGCAATTCAAGTCAGAAACGAAAGAAGCTCGCAGCAAGAATGTGAGTCAACAGTCCGAGATGATCAACGGAAGTTAGTCACAATCCAGAATTAAAAAGAAAGAAGTAGAAGAAAGGCAAGAAGTGAATCCACATGCAGAAGTTGATGAAAGATGTGGATTTCTCAAGACCTAACTGAAGTCACAAGCATGGTGTGTCCGGTTTTGATCCGAAAAAGTTGAGGAAGAATGAACTAGCACCTGCAGCTAGCAAGCGTCAAGGTTCAATCTAAAGTTTGCATGAAGAACCATTCAAGACTCAAGATCAAGCTTCAGAAGACTTATAGATAGGAATCTTGTAACTCATAGTTGACAGGCTTAGTTAGTCTTTTTCATTTTTTGATTTTGATGTAATAACATGACCGTGGACCGGAACCTCGACGAAATGGCACTTCGACTGGCTCTCCACCTCGGTATACTCCATCATCTCACTCATTTCCGAACTAGACATGACCTGATTCCTTTATAGCCAAGGATATGTAGGCAGCTCAGATACCAGGGCTCGGTCACATTCTCCTTCCTCTTAGTTTTGGTCTCCTTAAATAAGGGTCGGGTCAAAAAAACCTGTCTAGTTGTTCTTTGTCCGAAAACTCTTCACGCTTCCAGTCAAAGAGGGGCAACTGTAGACATCTGATTTTGACCCTCCCCAAGATTTTTCATATTTTAGCACTTAAATATTTAATTTAGGCCTAATATAGTTATTTTAATTGATTTTGACTCTTTTACTTTATTTTATTACAAGAAAATGAAAATTACAAAAAAAAAATAATTTCATTAATATTTTGTAGTCATTTTAATCTTGAAAAATACCAAAAATAGTTTATTTTAATGGTCAATCTTATTTTAATAAGTTATTAGGACTCATTTATAAATGAGATCGTATTTTCATCTCGTTTGCGGGGAAAGAATAAAACTTGGGCTCAAGCAACCCATTTTTAGGCCTAATTTTGGACCTAACCCATAATTCCCAAGCCCATAATTCCTAGGCCCACACTCCTAACCTAATCCCTACCCTTACATAATAGTACCTAATCCCTACATAGACCGGGACCTAAAAATTGGAATCCGCCGTTTTCCTTCAGCAAAAAATACACAAAATGAACGCCCAAAAAAGACCCTAAGGCTGACAAAAAGTTGCGCCGGATTTTCAGCAAAAAACCAGGAAAACCCCCCTCTGGTCATGGTTCCCTTCATGCTTGAGCTTCGGCAGCCATAAACGACCAGGACCTTCCCCCAAACTTCATCCTCTTCGAGACCCCAAACCCGTCGACCAACCCCTGCTCCTCCACCTCAACCAGACCAACAGTCCAGACCTGCACAAATCTGGCAAACCAATGTTTTACAGTGAGTTTTTGAATAAGTTGAGGATGGTTTCAGTTGAGTTCGGCGAGGTGCGGCATTTGGATTTGTCGAGGTCTTGTTTGCCAGTCTTTGTCTGAGTTTGAATTGGCAGAAAACAGGGAAAGAAAATTTTGCCATATTAAGGTCCATTTTCTTTCATTTTTGGCTCATGCTTTTAGGTAGTCTGAAGTGTTGTTAGTGTTAATTTTCATCAGACATGTATGTGTGTTTGAACTTCACGTGCTCAAATTATAACAGGAAGAGGTTAACCTTCCTAAAGTTATTTTGAGTCTAGAACAAACAGTGATTAAACCTTGACATGTTCTTTGGCTTATGTGCTTATGTTAATTGTAGAACATTCTGATTGTTTAAACTCATGCTGTTCATTCCAAATATATTAAATCTTAAGTTGGGTCTTACTTGAATTAAAAGGTCAAGAGAATATTTCTATTTTTTGAATTAGTTAGGATTTGAGTTTTTTTTTTTAAAAAAATACAAAAATATTCTCCTTTCTTCATCTTAAATTGCGGATTTCTAGTTTCAAAAGTGAAATTTGCTTGAGGCTTTGTTGGGGTTGGTTCGCTCAATTAACTGAAAGCCTAAACATTAGTGTTTTGATTTTAAATGATTTGTTTGGTTTCTCTTTTCCTTTACTGAATTTCTCCGATTTTTGACACAAACCATACTTGAATTATAGGTTTCATTTAACGGTGTTAATTTCATGCTTGACTTTCATGTGCTCTACGTTGAAAAACCCATGGCCCTCATGTAATTAACATTAATCCTTTAGAAATCGAGATGTGCCATTTAGTTGAATTGTCCATGGCCCTCGCAAATTTGAAAGTGCGTAGTTGCTCTAGGCGCGCTATTTAAAAATTACTTTCCTAAACTCGGGTGTGCATTTATGTGACCCAAATCCAAATCTCAACAATGTTAAATAAAATATGTCGTGGACCGCGGGTGCATTTGTGTGACGTGGTTCAAGATGTGTTTTAGATGACGTTGAATCTTTCCTAAAAATAATTAATTGAAAGCGGTTTTAAAAGGAATAAAATGCTTATTGGTTTAAAAATGTTTAAAATCAGATAAATAGGCCAATAATAACAGTTGAGCGACCGTGCTAAAACCACGAAACCAGGGAATGCCTAACACCTTCTCCAGGGTTAACAGAATTCCTTATTTGGATTTCTGTGTTCGCAGACTGTAAAACAGAGTCAACTTTTCTTCAATTCGGGATTTGAACCGATGAATTGGGACAGCATAAATTATCCCAAGTGGCGACTTTGAACATTAAATAAACAATCCCGTTTCGATTGTCACTTAAATTGGAAGAAACTCCCTTATACCCTTCCTCTGAGTCAGAGCTGTCACACCTCCTTTTTACACACCCGAAGGTATATATAAGGGAGTTTTTACAATTTAAGTGACATTATTCGAAATGGGATTATTTATTCAATTTTATTCAGAGTCGCCACTTGGGATGGTTTGTTTTCTGCTGTCCCAAGTCACCATACTTCCTCTGAGTCCGTGGTAGTCCAACAACGAAGTCCATAGTGATACGCTCCCACTTCCACTCAAGATTCTCAATCTTCTGGAATAAACCACCGGGCCTCTGATGCTTGTACTTAACCTGCTGACAGTTCAAACACTGAGCCACATATGCAACAATGTCCTTCTTCATTCTTCTCCACCAATAATGCTGTCGTAGATCCTGATACATCTTCGCGGTGCTCGGATAAATAGAGTACCGGGAACTATGGGCATCCTCTAAAATCAACTCCGCGAGCCCATCCACATTAGGTACACAAACTCGACCCTGCAACCTTTAAACTCCATCATCTCCTAAGGTAACCTGCTTGGCACCTCTGTGTTGCACCGTGTCTCTAAGGACACACAAATGAGGATCATCATACTCCCGATCTCGGATTTGCTCCAATAAAGAAGAACGAGCGACTATTGGGCTCAGAAACATCCAACCTCATGAACTGATTGGCCAAAGCCTAAACATCCAAAGCAAGCGGCCTCTCACCGATCAGAATATAAGCAAGACTGCCCATACTGGCTGACTTCCTACTCAAGGCATCAGCCACTACATTGGCCTTTCCCGGATGATATAAGATGGTGATATCATAGTTTTTCAACAGTTCCAACCACCTCCTCTACCTCAAATTTAGCTCCTTCTGCTTGTACAAGTACTGCAGACTCTTGTGATCTGTGAACACTTCACATGCCACGCCGTACAGATAATTCCTCCAAATCTTCAATGTGTGAACAATGGCTGCCAACTCCAAATCATGAACTGGATAGTTCTTCTCATGAATCTTCAACTGCTGTGAAGCATAGGCAATGACCTTACCATCCTGCATCAACACCGCACCAAGTCCGATACGAGATGCATCACAATAAACTGTATAAGGCCCTGAACCTATGGGCAAAACTAGCACCAGTGCCGTAGTCAAAGCTGTCTTGAGCTTCTGAAAGCTCGCCTCACACTCGTCTGACCATCTGAACTGGGCACCCTTTTGGGTCAACCTGGTTATGGGGGTTGCAATAGATGAAAACCCCTCCACAAACCTATGATAGTAGCCTGCCAATCCCATGAAACTCCGGATCTCTATAGCTGATACTGGTCTAGTCCAGTTCTTGACTGCCTCAATCTTCTTTGGATCGACCTGAATACCCTCTACTGATACAACATGACCCAGGAATGCAACTGAACTCAACCAGAACTCACACTTCGAAAACTTAGCATACAACTGACTATCCCTCAAGGTCTGAAGAACCACTCTAAGATGTTGCTTATGCTCCTCCCGGCTGCGGGAATAGATCAAAATATCATCAATGAAGACTATCACGAACGAGTCCAAGTAAGGCCTGAACACTCAGTTCATCAAATCAATAAAAGATGATGGGGCATTTGTCAACCCGAATAACATCACCAAGAACTCATAATGCCCGTACCGAGTGCGAAAAGCTGTCTTAGGGATATCAGATGCCCTAATCCTCAACTGATGGTAGCCAGATCTCAAGTCAATCTTCGAAAATACCTTGGCACCTTGAAGCTGATCAAACAAATCATCAATCCCCGACAATGGATACTTATTCTTGATTGTAACCTTGTTCAACTGCCAGTAATCAATACATATTCTCATCGATCCATCCTTATTCTTAACAAACAATACCGATGCACCCCAAGGCGAGACACTAGGTCTAATGAAGCCTTTTTCAAGCAAGTCTTGCAACTGCTTCTTCAACTCTTTCAATTCAGGCCGGGCCATATGATACGGTGGGATAGAAATGGGCTGAGTGACCGGAGCCAAATCAATGCAAAAGTTAATATCCCTATCGGGTGGAATACCCGACAGGTCTGAAGGAAATACCTAAGGAAACTCACGAACAACATGCACATGATCAATAGAAGGAACCTCAGCACTAGAATCACGGACATAGGCCAAATAGGCCAAACACCCCTTCTCGACCATACACTGAGCCTTCATATATGAGATAACACTATGGGTAGAATGACCATGAGTCCCTCTCCACTCTAAACGGGGTAAACCCGGCAAGGCTAAGGTCACAGTCTTGGCGTGACAGTCCAAGATAGTATGGTAAGGTGATAACCAGTCCATCCCCAATATGATATCAAAATCAACCATGTCTAGAAGAAGCAAATCTACACGAGTCTCAAGACCCCCAATCATAACTATACAAGAACGATGGACTCGATCTACCGCAATAGAATCACCCACCGATGTAGACACATAAACAGGAGCACTCAGAGAATTATTAGGCATGACCAGATACAGTGCAAAATAAGATGACACATAGGAGTATATAGATATTGGATAAAATAAAACTAAAGCATCTCTGCTACAAACCATAATAGTACCTGTGATAACCGCATCGGAAGCCTTAGTCTTGGGCCTGGCTGGAAGAGCATAACATCGGGGCTGGGCCGCACCACCCTGAACTACATCTCTGGGACGGCCTGCTGCTGACTGGCCTCCACCTCTAGCGGCCTGAGCTCCACCTCTAGCACCTCTACCCCTGCCTCTAACTGGCTGGGTGGGCTGTGGAACACTCGGTGCCTGAACCATGGCATGAGAACCCTGATGTTGAGAGTTGCTCAGTGCTCGAGGGCAAAACCTAGAAATGCGACCCATATCACCACAACTATAACAGACACTCGGCTGCTGAGACTGCTGACCCTGACGACCTGAATGACCACCCCGAAAACTCTGGAGCGGTGGTGCATTGATAGGAGCTGGTGGTGCATTATAGGACTGCTGATCAGAATACTACATATGAGAACCACGGCCACCTGAAGCACCGTGAGAAACCTGAAATGCTGACTGAAAAGGCCTAGGAGGATGGCCTCTACCATACGAATCCCTGCCTCCAGATAAGGTACCACTGAATCTACCTGAATGACGAGGCCTCTTGTCATACCCCTGAACACCTCCCTGCGATAGAACCATCTCAAATCTCCTGGTCACATTGGCCGCCTAAGAAATTTCACTCCCTATCTCCTTGCCATCTGAAGCCGAATAGGATGGATAAGTCCCTCAATGAACCTCCCCACCCTCTCTCTCTCGATAGGAAGTATGATAAGAGCATGACGGGACAAGTCGATGAATCTGGTCTCATATTGAGTAATAGTCATGGAACCCTATTGGAGACGCTCAAACTACCTCCGATAGATCTCTCTCTGAGTGATAGGGAGAAACTTCTCCAGAAATAGCTGAGTAAACTGCTCCCAAGTCAAAACTGGTGATCTGGCTGGTCTAGCCAAACAATAATCTCTCCACCAAGTCTTGGCGGATCCAGACAAGCAAAAAGTAGCAAAATCGACCCCATTGGTCTCCACTATCCCCATGTTCCTGAGAACCTTATGACAACTGCCTAGATAATCCTAGGGATCCTCAGAAGATGCACCGCTGAAAGTAGTAGTGAAGAGCTTGGTGAACCTGTCCAACCTGCACAAAGCATCGACAAACATAACTGCTCCATCACTGGTCTAAGCTACCATACCCAGCTGAACTGTTCCAACTGGTTGAACGACTGGAGTCTGAAACTAGGGAGCCACCTACTCCGGAGTGCGAGTAGCAGGAGTCTGAGCTCCTCCTTCAGTCTGAGAGACGACTGGGGCTACATGAAGCAAGCCTACCCAGGTGATACTCTCCGTAAGGCCCACTAGACGGACCAGAGCATCCTGGAGTACTGGGGTAGAAATGAACCCCTTTGGGACCTGAGCTGGGCCCACCAGAACTGTCGGGGCCGAAACCTCATCATCAAAGTCAACCTGAGGCTCCACCGTTGGTGCTGTTACTCTAGGATGAGCTTTGCCCCTACCTCGGCCTTGCCCTCTGCCCCTCGTGGGAGCTGCTGCTGGGGGCTTGGGCTGCTGGTCAGTGGATGAGGAAGCATGTGTTCTCGCCATCTGCGAAAGAACAGAGTAAAAATTCAATTAGCATTGAGAAACCAAATCGCACGACAGGAAGGAATAAATGTGAAGTTTTTCCTAACTCTGTAGCCTCTAGGGGATAAATACAGACATCTCCATACCGATCCCTTAGACTATACTAAGCTTGTCTGTGAACTGTGAGACCCACGTAACAAACACGAGTGGAGGCCGATTCGACAGGCAAAGGCGTCGCGGGCTAGAGATTTGACCGGATTGAGGTAAGTAATGATTGTAAATGATGTCACGAGGGGTATGAAACCTCACATTGCACATTGTTATGCTATACTGAGGTGACGCACACGCTAGACGACGTGCGTGGGGTCGTGCACTGTTGGGGATTGTGACTTAGTCCATCCCGAATGACTATTTCACCGCGTATTTGACTGAAAACTATTTGCTACCATCATGTTTTGGGCGTAATTCCATATTTGGGCCTCATTCCATCTATTTGAACCCTTAGGGGATTTTTATTGATATTTCCTCACTGTTTTGACTTTATACTTTGTGCGACCCAGCCAGTCGTCTCATGAGTTACCATTTCGTTTTCCCTATTTCTACTTCTTTATGCTTTGTTTATCCGTATTTTGTGATATCGGGTTGGTCGGATCAAGTTCGGAAAGGATTTGGTAAGGTTTGAGACACTTAGTCTCTTTAGAGTGAGTTTAAGTTAGAAAAGTCAACAGGATGTTGACTTATGTGTTATAGGACTCGGATGTGAGTTCTGATGGTTTGGTTAGCTTCGGGAGGTGATTTGTGGCTTAGGAGTGCGATCGGAATTTGTTTTGGAGGTTCAGAGTAGATTTAGGTTTGAATTGGCGAAGTTGATATTTTGGCGATATCCGGTTGGTATGTGAGATTTTGATATAAGGGTTGAAATGGAATTCCGAGAGTTGCAATAGCTTATTTGTGGAATTTGGGATGTGTGTGCAAAAGTTTAGGTCTTTCGGACGTGGTTTGGTTGGATTTTTGATCAAAAGCGAAATTCGGAAGATTTTGGAAACTTAGGCTTGAATCCGAGGTGTTTTGGTTGATTTGATATTGTTTGAGGTGTTTTGAAGATTGGTACAAGTTTGAATAAGGTTTTGGGATATGTTGTTGCCTTTGGTTGAGGTCCCGGGGGCTTTAGGTGAGTTTCGGGTGGTCAATCAGACCATTTCACGAAGTTTGGAACTGCAAAAATCTACTGTTCAGTGTTGTAGATAATAGACCGTCGCATTCGCGAGAGGGGAGCCACGATCGCGATCGCGAAGGGTTAGCTGGTCAAGGCTGGATTTTGGCCTTCACGTTCGCGAGAAAGGCTTCGCGTTCGCGAAGTGCTGGGAAGTGATGCATCGCGTTCGCGTAGAGGAATTGGGTCAGCTGGGTTTGTGATCGAGTTGTTCATCGCGTTCGCGAGAAAAGGAGTGCGTTCGCGAAGAGTAAGTCTGAGGAACCATTGCATTTGCGATGGCCTTGTCGCGTTCGCGTGAAAGTATTTTGGTCAAAGTCATTTTTGTTCTTCATGAACGCGAGGCGTTTACCGCATTCGCGAAGAAGGAATTAATGCCTGGGCAGAAAGTTTTTAAGGTCGTCTTGTCCGCGAATGTGGGGTTTATTTCCTCCATAGTTGGTCGTTTTTGGAGCTTTTTGAAAGAGATTGAAGAGGGATTCAAGGGGTAACATTTGGAGGTAAGCATTTTGGACTTACAACTCGATTCTATTGTGAAATCTACCTAATAAATCATGGAATCTAAGCCTAAAAATTGAACAATTAGGGGTTGAGATTAAGAGACTTAAAATGAGGATTTGAGGGGCCATTTGGACTCCGATTTCAGTGTTCTTAGTGTGTATGAACTCGTGGGGAGATAAGGAATCCGTTGATCTGAATTTTTTTGAATTTCAAGATGTGGGTCCGGGGTCGGATTTTGGTAATTTCGGCGATTTGTGTAGTATTTTGATTGTTTTCGCTTGGGCTTCGTTCCCTTAGCCTATTTTAACGTCCTCGTTCTGATTTTGGATAGATTCGATGCGAGTGGAGGCCGATTCGAGGGTCAAAGACATCGCGAGTTAGAGATTTGACCGGTTCGAGGTGAGTAATGATTGTAAATGATATTCTGAGGGTTTGAAACCCCGGATTGCACATCGTAATGCTATATTGAGGTGAGACACACGCTTGATGACGAGCGTGGGGTCATGCACTATTGGGGATTGTGACTTGGTCCGTCCCGATTGATGATTTTACCATGTATTTGACTGAAATCTATTTGCTATCATCATTATTTGGGTTGAATGCCATATTTGGGCTTCGTGCCAACTATTTGAACCCTTCGAGGATTTTTACTGATATTTCCTTACTGTTTTGACTCTATACTTGAACTCAGTCATGTTATTTTCCACTATTTTCATACTCAGCCTTGTTTACTCAGTTTTTAATATTTAAATAATATTTTACATGATGTTTGGGCTGAGAAATACTATTTTACTATTGCCAGAGGGGCTTGTGAGATTTTTGACTGAGTAAGGCCTAGGTCCTATGTTGTGAGGAAACACTGATATTGATTTGAGGCCGCGAGCCTGAGATATGTACGCCACGAGATGGCTAGATTGATATTAGGCCGAGGGCCTAGTGATGATGCCATGAGATGGCTTGATTGCTTGGGCCGTAAGGGGCCCCTCCAGGAGTCTATACACCCCTAGTGAGCGCAGGTACCCATTGTGATGTGAGATTGAGCCCGAGGGGCTGGTACTGTTCTGAGATATTTTCCGAGGGGCAAATTTGTTGACACTGTGCCCGAGGGGCGAACATTTGTGTGTTTACTTTTCATAATTGACTGTCAATTACCTGCTTAATTATTGAGAAAGGCTTTTCATGAAACTACGTTTTGAGTTAAAGAATTTTACCTATCTTTCACTAGTTTACAGTTTTAATTATTTTACTGCTTCATTATAGAATGCTTTGTGCCTTACGTAATTTCTTGCTTTCAGTCTTTATTTACATTTGTTACTTATTGAGTTGGAGTAATCACTTTACTTCCTGCTCCCCTGTGTGCAGATTCAGGCGTTGCAGATCCTGCTAGTGCGAGGTGAGAGATCCTGGAAGATATCAGAGTCCACGAGGTAGATGCTTGATGTCTGCAGTCCCGTGTCTCTCCCTCTTTATCATTTCTATCTCATATCAGACATTTGTGATAGTTTATAGACTTTTCAGACTTGTATTAGGTTTTATAGATGCTCATGACTAATGACACCATGATTTTGGGCTGTGTTGGGTTATTCTTCCGCGTATTTATGACATTATCTACTACTTTGGATTATTTAATCATGTTTCGACTATTTCTAAATGCTTAGCTGTTAATAACTGGAAAAAGGGGAAGTGTCAGCTGGCCTTGTCTTCACGAGAGGCGCCATCATGACCGAGTCCGGGTTTGGGTCGTGACAAGTTGGTATCAGAGCCTAGGTTAAATAGGTCTCACGAGTCATGAGCAGGTTTAGTAGAGTCTTGCGGATCGGTACGGAGACATATGTATTTATCCTCGAGAGGCTGGAGAACCTTTAGGGAAATCTTCATGTTCTTGAAATTCTTGTCGTGCGAATTTGTTGATCCGAGTACTAAACTTCTGTTGTTCTATTCTCTCATAGATGGTGAGGACACGCGCTATCGGACAGGGTGGACGATCACCAGTTCCACCAGCTGTGGCCACCAGAGGCCGAGGATGCAGCCGTGGTCGGGGTAGGGGCAGAGCAGCTAGGGCAGCACTTGCAGATCCACTAGCTACCCCAGTTCAGGATCAAGTCCCAGTTATGGACACTCTTGCAGCACCAGCTCAGGCACTAGCTGTGCCTATTATGATTCCGGGTCTTCAGGAGGCCTTGGTTCAGATTTTATCAGTTTGCACTGGCCTAGCTCAGGTGGTTTCAGCCATTACAGCCACAACTACTTCTCAGGCCGGGGGAGGCAATCATACTCCCGCCGCTCGCACACCTGAGAAGGTCGTGCAGGGACCTTAAACGCCGGGGCATATCCAGCCCAGTCAGTTACAACTGCTCAGGACTATGTAGTTCCTGCTATGCCGGAGGATGAGCAGCGTAGGTTGGAGAGGTTTGGTAGACTGCAGCCTCCGACCTTCAGTGGTGCAGAGGGCGAGGATGCCCAGGGTTTCTTAGATAAATGTCAGAGGATACTTCGTACAACGGGTATTCTGGAGACCAACGGGGTTGCTTTCACTACTTATCAGTTTTGTGGAGCTGCCTTCACTTGGTGGGAGGCTTTTGAGAGGTGTAGGCCTGTTGGTGCAACACCCCTTACCTGGCAGCAGTTCTCCGTTCTCTTTCTGGAGAAGTATGTGCTGTAGTCCCGCAGAGAGGAGCTGCGTAGAGAGTTTGAGTGGTTGTGTCAGGAAGAGATGACTATGATGCAGTACGAGATGAGGTTCTACGAGTTAGCTTGTCATGCTATTTGGATGGTTCCGACAAATAGAGAGAGGATTAGGAGGTTTGTTGATGGCCTCACTTATCAGCTTCGTATTCTCATGACCAGGGAGAGGGTGATTGGTGCTATGTTTGAGGAGGTTGTGGATATTGCCCATGATATTGAGTCTATTCGTCGCCAGGAGCACGAGGAAAGGGAGGCCAAGAGGCCTCGAGGATCTGATAGTTATAATGGTACTCCTTTGAGGGGTCAGTTTCAGCACGGTAGAGGCCGTCCATTCAGGCATGCTCAGCCAGCTCGCCCAGGTTATCATGGGGCATTATCGGGTCATGGTTCTCATAGTTCTCATCAGGGCCAGTCATCACTTAGTGCCCTTCCATCTCAGAGTTCGTCCCGTGCTCCCTCAGTTTAGGGCTTGTCTATGCTGAGTGCATCTTCTAGTCACTTCGGTGCGAGGGGTTCCCTTCAGTCCCCTTCTCCAGCACCTGGGAGTTGTTATAAGTGTGGTGAGATGGGTCATATGTGGAGGCAATGCCCTAGTCGTCTTGTGAGTTCATCTCAGCAGAGGGGTCAGTCATCGGCTTCAGCGCCAGTTACTTCACCACTACCTGCCCAGTCAGCTAGGGGTCACCCTAGAGGGGGAGGTCTATCAGGTGGCGGTCAGGCCCATTTCTATGCACTTCCAGGTAGACCCGATGCTATTGCTTTTGATGCTATTATTACAAGTATTGTTTCGGTGTGCCACAAAGATGCCTTTGTATTATTTTATCTCGGTTTCACCTTTTCTTATTTGTCATTATACTTTGCTCGTTATTTGGGTACGCTCCGTGAGTTTTTTGCTTTATCTGTTCATGTATCTACCCCGGTGGGCGATACTGTTGTTGTAGACCGTGTGTACCGGTCGTGTGTGGTGACTATTGGGGGTCTAAAGACCCGTTTGGATCTTTTATTATTGTGTATGGTGGATTGCGATGTAATTTTGGGCATGGATTGGCTATTTCCATGTCGTGCTATTCTGGACTGTCATGCTAAGACAATCACATTAGCTATACTAGGTGTGCCACGGATTGAGTGGTGAGGTGTGATTGATTATGTTCCCAGTAGAGTGATCTTCTTCTTGAAAGCCCAACGTATGGTTGGGAAGGGTTGTCTTTCTTATCTAGACTTTGTGAGGGATGTCGGAGTTGAGACTCCCAGTATTGATTCTGTTCCAATTGTGAGGGATTTTCCCAATGTGTTTCCTACAAACCTGCCGGGCATGCCACCGGATAGGGATATTGATTTTGGTATTGACCTAGTGCCGGGCACTCAGCCCATTTTTATTCCGCCGTATCGTATGGCACCAACAGAGTTGAAGGAATTAAAGGAACATCTTCAGGAACTCCTTGATAAAGGGTTCACTCGACCTAGTGTGTCACCTTTGGGTGCGCCGGTTCTATTTGTGAAGAAGAAGGATGACACTATGAGAATGTGCATTGATTATAGGTAATTGAACAAGGTAACAATTAAGAACAAGTATCCTTTGCCTCGCATTGATGATTTATTTGACTAGCTTCAGGGAGCGAGAGTGTTCTCTAAGATTGATCTTCGTTCAGGTTATCACCAGTTAAAGATCAGGGACTCGTATATTCTCAAGATGGCTTTCAGGACTAGGTATGGTCATTATGAGTTCTTGGTGATGTCTTTTAGGCTGACTAATGCCCCAACAACGTTTATGCATTTGATGAACAGTGTGTTCCAGCCTTATCTTGACTCGTTTGTCATAGTCTTCATTGATGACATCCTGGTATATTCACGTAGTCAGGAAGAGCATGCAGAGCATTTGAGAGTTGTGTTGCAGAGATTGAGAGAGGAGAAGAATTATGCAAAATTCTCCAAGTGTGAGTTTTGGCTCGATTCAGTGGCTTTCTTAGGGAATATGGTGTCCAGCGAGGGTATTCAGGTTGATCCGAAGAAGATAAAGGCGGTTCAGAGTTGGCCCAGACCATCCTTAGCCATAGAGATTCACATCTTTCTTGGTTTGGCGGGTTATTATCGCTGTTTTGTTCAAGGATTCTCATCTATCACATCGCCCTTGACCAAGTTGACTCAGAAGGGTGCTTCATTCGTATGATCGAACGAGTGTGAGGAGAGCTTTCAGAAGCTCAAGACAGCTTTGACCACAACTCCAGTGTTAGTTTTGCCATTAGCTTCAGGTTCATATACCGTGTATTGTGATGCTTCGAGAGTTGGCATTGGTTGTGTTTTGATGCAGAAAGGTAGAGTTATTGCTTATGCTTCTCGTCAATTGAAGCCCCATGAGAAGAACTACCCCGTTCATGATTTGGAGTTGGCTACCATAGTTCACGCGTTAAAAATTTGGAGGCATTACTTGTATGGTGTGTCTTGTGAGGTGTTTACTGATCATCGTAGCCTACAACACTTGTTCAAACAGAAGGATCTTAATTTGAGGCAGCGGAGGTGGTTGGAGTTACTTAAGGATTATAATATCACTATATTGTACCATCTGGGAAAGGCCAATATGGTGTCCGATGCCTTGAGCCGAAAGGCGGTGAGTATGGGGAGTTTGGCATATATTCTAGTTGGGGAGAGACCTCTTGCAGTTGATGTTCAGGCCTTGGCCAATCGGTTCGTGAGATTAGATATTTTGGAGCCCAGTCGGGTATTGGCTTGCGTGGTTTCTCGGTCTTCCTTATATGATCGCATCAGAGAGCGCCAGTATGATGATCCGCATATGCTTATCCTTAAGGACAGATTTCAGCATGATGATGCTAGAGATGTGACCATTGGTGATGATGGGGTGTTGAGGATGCAGGGCCAGATTTGTGTGCCCAATGTGAATGGGCTTCGGGAGTTTATTCTTGAGTAGGCCCATAGCTCGCGGTATTCCATTCATCCGGGTGCTGTGAAGATGTATCAGGATTTGAGACAATACTATTGGTGGCGGAGAATGAAGACATTGCGGGATTTGTAGCTCGATGTCTCAATTGTCAGCAGGTGAAATATGAGCATCAGAGACCGGGTGG